GGGGGGTCATCTGTTTTTAGAGGTAAAATTAGTGAGAAAACGACCGCCAAAGATTAGTTATTTCCTTATCTTAAGAGTCCGTGGTTACTGAAAATTTACATTTTGTGTGCCTTTAATCAACGTTTTTCAGAAAATTCCACACAGAAATTAGTTCTTTAATTGGCTTGAAAGGTGTTGCGCCAAAAAACAAAAATTTGATAAAAATTCACAAATCTGCGTAAAAATGCAAGTTTCTTCATTTTGATTATTTTGACGAGAACCTGATTTCACCACGCTGCCTCACATATGTATTTTTACGACCACATCGATACCGTTTTGTTTGTTTTAGTACGAGTTTTGAGGTACTTGTTTGCAACATACAGAGGTCATTTAAGGTCCGAAGACCTTCTATATTTGTCTTTTACCATGTGCTGTCATCGTGTACCACAGGGCGTTCTGTTACCTCAGTTGGTATCGTGCTGGACTACCGTTTACCGAGCAAATAGCCGTGGTTCGAATCCCAGACCGAATGGGTGTTCTTGAACCCCGGTCGTTTTGTGGAGTTTTCAAGGCTTGCAAGCCTTTTTGGCTCAATCCTATTGGAGACAGACGTTGAACTTGGAGGTCCCGGCCATTTCATAACCTGGAAGTGTTGGTTGTGGACGGTTAATGCAAGCACTTTTACTGTTTACCTGAATCGAAGCCAGCTATCTTCTTCCGGAAAAGAGAAGCGTTTCCTGCAAAATTAGTAGCGAAATACGATGCTTGTGCGTTCATGTCACGTGGTATTGGGGACAACCTGAGGACAGGTAGAATATACAAACATTATTAGCACCCACAACTGTGGGGCATCTTGGGTAATATCAACCGTAGCTTGTAAATTAAAACTAAGACATCAGAACTTCCCAACATTTCTGAAAAGCAGGTGCACCTCTCTATTGTAAACGTCGCTCCGTTCCAATTTCGGAGGAATACAGGGGTTTTCTCACGCCGCTCCATGTGCTGTTTTTTTACGTCACCACGCGGTATTGGGGTCAACCTATATAAAGGGAAGGTAGAATATACATACAAATATCAGAAGGTGGGACCTGAGGACAATCCAGGTACAGGTAGAACATACAAACGTCAGCAAGTTGGACCTGGGGACAGCTAGAATATACAAACATCTGTAGAAAGGACATGAGGACAGGTAAAATATACAAACATCAGTAGGTGGGACATGAGGACAGGTAAAATATACAAACATCAGTAGGTGGGACATGAGGACAGGTAAAATATACAAACTTCAGTAGGTGGGACATGAGGACAGGTAAAATATACAAACATCAGTAGGTGGGACATGAGGACAGGTAAAATATACAAACATCAGTAGGTGGGACATGAGGACAGGTAAAATATACAAACATCTGTAGGTGGGACATGAGGGCAGGTAAAATATACCAACATCAGTAGGTGGGACATGAGGACAGGTAAAATATACAAACATCAGTAGGTGGGACATGAGGACAGGTAAAATATACAAACATCAGTAGGTGGGACATGAGGACAGGTAAAATATACAAACTTCAGTAGGTGGGACATGAGGACAGGTAAAATATACAAACATCAGTAGGTGGGACATGAGGGCAGGTAAAATATACAAACATCTGTAGGTGGGACATGAGGGCAGGTAAAATATACCAACATCAGTAGGTGGGACATGAGGACAGGTAAAATATACAAACATCAGTAGGTGGGACCTGGTGAAACTTTGTGCAGTGTTTACCTTGGCGTTAGTCGGATCATAGAATCGGCTCCGGTCCGTTGAACATGTTTAAATAGATTCAAACCATGATCTAGCGGCCTTCTGCCAAAGACAATCACCTGTTTAAACGATCACTTCCAACTCCCCCCTCCCCTTGCATTCGAAAGATATCACAATATCTCTGTGCAAGATGTTCATCTATCTAAGACAACCATTTTTCTCCCCGACAATGATTGGACATCATGAGCAATTTCAACCGTAGCTGGTAATTTAAAACTAATGTTTTAGTAAGTGTTTTACGGCGTTCGCAACACAATAAAGTCATATGAGTGCCGAAGATTAGAGGCGTTACAAGAGAGTAACAAACACAAAAAAGAAGGAGGAGAGATAAGGATGACAGATGTTTGATAGGAAAGGAGAAGCAAACCGCACCAAAGCACCCGCCAACCACCCACATGAAATAACCCGAGACAGCAGAACGTCTCAGAAAAGCAGACTCACCTTTCTAGCGTAAGCATCGCTGCGAGTCCGGAGTACAGAGGTTTCCTCAGGTCATTCCATGTGGTGTTTTCCCAAGTAATGTTGAGAGCGTTCTGCAGCTGGACATAATCTATGTTGGCTACATTGCGAGTCTGTTCATAAATGGCCTGAGGGATCTGAAAGTGGTTTGGGTTGTTTCTGTTTTAGTAAGAATTTTACTGCATTTGTAACACATGTAGGTACTAATATAATTATTGCAAACAGAAGTGTTGATCTATTGGCAAAAGTACAGAAAAGAATGAAAACCAGTGTTTGTTGTGTATGGGTAACGTGCTTCGAAGTCGCGTGAAGAAGATGTGAGTTCGATCCCCGAGTTGGGAAGGGTTTTTTCATGCTCTCTCTCTCTCTCTCTCTCTCTCTCTCTCTCTCTCTCTCTCTCTCTCT